GCAGAGCCAGGTGGATCTCTGTGAGTTCGAGGCCAGCCTGGTCTACAGAGCGAGATCCAGGACAGGCACCAAAACTACACAGAGAAACCCTGTCTCGGAAACCAAAGAAGGGTATTATTAGTTCATATCTCTGCATGAAAATTTGCTTGGAACCTGGTGACTTCTGCTGGGCCTAAGAACATTGCATAGTGAGAGACAGGGATAAATACATCACAGACCAAGCCCTCCCCACAGCCCAAGCCTGCCTGGAACATGTGGTCCTTCTGCCTCAGCATCACCAGTGATGAAATTATACACATGTACTGCCACACCAAGCTCAAGACAACATCTATGTAACAAACCCATTCTTGGTACAACCCATTAGCCCACTGATCCATTAACAATATAATAGACTGATATTTTATAATTGAGATTAAGCCCAAATCACCTCTAAAAGTTTGACCTGGTCCTCCTGTTTAAATATCACAATGGAAATTAAGCCTAACATTAGTTTTGAAGAAGACAACTTATATTCAAACCATAGTATAAATTATGAACTTGACCTTTGAAATATTGTTCCAGAAAGAAGAATAAACCGAAGTCGATTTCAACCAATTTCATACTTGTTACTCTTAAATCTTATGCCTGTGATAGGAAATTGCCATGTTTAGAAACAACTTTTGTATTGTTGTGCCATACGGTACATTAAAATATATATATATGAAGCGGGCCAGAGAGAGGGATCAGCAGTTAAGAGCACTTGCTGTTCTTGTGGAAGACCTGGGTTGGTTCCAAGACCCACATCAGACAGCTCACAATGGTCAGTAGCTTCAGTTCCAGGGGATCCAACACTCTCTCCGAGCCTCGTGGACATGTGCATGCAAGTGGTGCTCATAGAAGCAAGTGCACACACATATACGTAAATAAAAATAAATAAATATTTTTAAAATGTAAATGTTAGGATTTCAGCACAATCTTCATGAAAGCAAGGTACATTCTACAAAGAACGTATCTTCTTAAAATGTATTAAATTGTTCATGGTATATTAAAAGCTCACACAGGCAGGAAGATCTTCATGAGTTTGAAGCCAGTCTGGTCCACATAGTTCCAGGCCAGTCAGAGCCATATAGTGAGACCTTATCTAGGCAAAATTTCTTTAGAATGTTCTATTTTATAATATATATACAGTAAAGAAAACATAAGTCAGGAAAGTGGGGTTTTTTGTTTGTTTGTTTGTTTTTGTTTGTTTGTTTCTTATCATTTTAGGCATGGACACTGATAAGAAAGTGTGCCTGTGACATGAAACTGATATGTTTAGAAACATTTTTTTTTTTTGCTTGTAGGTGAAACCTAGTGAACTTAACTTGAAGCATTTTGAAAGATAAATTTCACATGAAATGCCCACAGCTACCAAATGCTCAATATTGAAAATGGTTGATTAGAAAGCATTTTTTATGAGCAATAAAGGCCCATATCTGTTACCTGGGTTTCTTAACAAAGTTTTAAGATTGTACTTTCGTATGACTTGAAAGGATTCAAAATTTCCCATTTCAGTGGTTAGACAAACTGGAAAATTATATATATGGTCAGCCAGCATTCCATTGGTGTAACAAATACTAATACCTGAGTTAAACAGACGCGTACGTAGGGAAGGTTTGTCTGTCTGATGGCTGTAGAGGTTTTAGTCCATGATGCCTTAACCCATTATCACCATGATGGGAACACACAGCAGGGAGAGCCACTCAGCTCATAACCAGGAAGCAAGTGGCTGAGTCCCATTGACCTAACACCACCAATGACCTAACTTTTTCACACTGGTTCCACCTTCTTATAAGGCCAAGCAGGGGGCCATGTTTTTAGTATATGGGCCTTTGAAGGACATTCTCTATCCACACTCAAGCACACATTATGCTGGCACTTGAATTATCTAACTTGTTTGTCTATAATCTATAAAGAAATTAAGTAAAAGATTGCCTCCAAATTAATGGTTTAGAATTCTAGCTTTATTTAACTCTAAATGATGAAAAAAATCTCGATTTATCAACAGTGGGAAAAACTCCAAGGGCCTATAGCATGAGAAACTTAGTCACATAGCCAATGGCCATGAATTTGTACGTATCAGTTTTCCCGGTAAACTCCTGAGTGGTCTTTCTGCTCATCAGTGTGGAGGGAAGAGCTGCCACCATTGGTTCCTGTTTTTGCCATTTATGTCGCAGGGACAGACCCCAGGATGAATCAGTGTCTAGCATGGATGAAAGACACACAGAAACCACAAAACAGTGGCTTCTCTTTATACTGAAAATACCAGGTTTATGGTAGAATATTCTGAACTTGAACCTTCAGCTTTAAATCCGTCTTTTTCCTGGTGGAAGTCCTCAGGGTCAGCCCTGACAATTCCTTCCATCTTTAAGCAGCACTTGTCCTCATAAATAAATGTATGTGGGGATATTCATTTCCATGGCTACCTTGACCTGAGCAAGCATTTCAGTTTCTCTAGTCCCTGCCCTGCAGCTTTAGTCCCTGTTTATGTTCAACCCTACACTGGATTGTATTCAATTCTTGGTCTCTAGAAATGGAGAAGGGTGTCTTAAAGCCTGGTTTTCATTTCCACTCCCTCTCTTTTGTCTCTCTCCATATTTGTTAATTTAGAATTCTGTGCTTTTTAATCTGAAGTGTAGGTGTGTGAGGAAATGAATACCTGACGTAATGGATATTTATGAGGAATCCTGTAGCCGTCAAAACCATAATCATTGTCTGCCCACATTCTCCCCAAGCAAAGTCAGTTTTGTCATGTAAACTTCTAGATACTGTTTAGATCTCTTTGTGGTTCTCTGTGCTCATTACTGGACTTCCTCAAAATTAGGGAAAGGTGCACATCGTCCTGCCCCCGGGCAGATCAAGGCAGGCGAAGAGCGAGGTGAATGCCGGGTGTTTTGACTGGCTCTTTCCCAGCACAGTAGGTTCACCTTCACACTGTGTTTGGAGCAACATACAGCCTCCCTATAAATACGTGATCCTGACTAGAGGAATCTCATGGCCAAGTGTAGTGGTACTTGTAATTCTGGCACTTGAGAAGCTAAGGCAAGAGGATCACAAGTTCAAGGTGAGCCTGGCCTACACAGCAAGGTAAAGGGCAGCCTGGATTGCAAAACAAGACCCTGGCTCTAAAGTGGAATGTGTGTATATGATTAATATGTTGGGATTTATAATTAGAGTTTATAGCATGGTTTCTCCAAAGTTAGAATTTTCTGGGCATCATTACTATGGCTCACGTTTTACCCATTCTAGGAAACTAAGATTGTTATCCCGTCTTCTGGCTGTCCTCTCTTCTATCCACTGTCTGATAAACAATTTGCTGTCCTTGGAGCTTGATTCAGCTGATGGATGAGAACCCTGAGTTAGAATACATTCATTCTCCTTGCTTATCTGTCCCCACCAGATGAAGGCAAAGCCACCAAGGCTTGTCCAAGGGACACAACTCATGATGCTTGAGTGTTCTAATCTGTCCTCAGTGGGAGGAACAGGCTTCCGGGGAACAAGATCATGTGCTGAAGTCACGATGACTGTTAAGCCTGGAAAGGCTGTGAAAGTCACAGAGTCACCACTGTGGCCATGACGGGTGGTGAATGGAAAGCAGGATGCCACCTTCTAAAAATAGACCTTTTCTTCTTGTTCACTTATGTATTGGCTCCCGGTGGGCACAGATGGTGGTACAGGCCTATAATCCCAAATTCCAAATCCGCATGGGCTGAATGGCAAGGCCCACTCTCAAAAAATAAAGCAAAATATGTATTAGCACCTGATATTAGCTCTGAGTGATCAGGAGACTCTGAGACAAACTTCTCAAGGTTTGAAGAGGAGCACAGAAAAACTACTTGATTGCCCATTGAATGAGGCCTTTCCAGAATTCTTTTCTCTCAGTCTTCCAAAATCAGAACTAAAATTCAGTATTTTGAGTCGCTGCTGTTATTTAGTCCCAGGCCCAGCTTTACCCTGCAGTGCCTAACAGCATGCATTTATAGTTTGAAGTCTATTTTATTAGATATTAGGATAGCTACACAAGCTTGCTTCTTAGGTCCATTTGATTGGAAAGCCTTTTCCCAGCCCTTTACTCGGAGGTAGTGTCTGTCTTTGAAGTTAAGGTGTGTTTCTTGTATGCAGCAGAAGGATGGATCCTGTTTTCTTATCCATTCTGTTAGTCTGTGTCTTTTTATAGGTGAGTTGAGATAATTGATATTGATGGATATTAATGACCAGTGATTGTTAATTCCTGTAATTTTTTTGTGGTAGTGTTGCATTTTCCTTCTTGGGTATTTGTTGGTGTGGAATTATCTATTGCCCAAGTTTTCTTAGGTGTGTTTAGGTTCTTTAGGTTGGATTTTTCCTTCTAGTGCTTTCTGTAGGGCTGGATTTGTGGATAGGTATTGTTTAAATCTGGTTTTATCATGGAATATTTTGTTTACTCCATCTGTGGTGATTGAGAGTTTTGCTGGGTATAATAGTCTTTGTTGGCAACTGTGGTCTCTTAGTGTCTGCATAACATTTGTCCAAGACCTTCTGGTTTTCATAGTCTCTATTGAGAAGTATGGTGTTATTCTGATGGATCTGCCTTTATATGTTACTTGGTCTTTTTCCTTTGCGGCTCTTTGTAGCTTGAGTTTTACTGCCTTGCCTACAGTCAGGACAAATCTTTGTCACCCGCCAGTCCCACAGCTGCTCAGACCCAACCAAGTAAACACAGAGACTTATATTGCTTACAAACTATATGGCCGTGGCAGGCTTCTTGCTAACTGTTCTTATA